TGAACACGCACGAAAAGGGCGATACTCCACGAGTATGCCGAACAAGATCTCAAAAGATCAAGTTATGATTTGTTGTTCCCTTGGCTTATCAAGCTTCTCGACCAAGCCCATGCCGGCTCGAGTTGCAAGATTAGCTAAGAGAATTTGGGCGTCCCCATAAGCCGAGGAGTTTCACTCCACCCGACAACACGTCACGCACGACACGCACGGCAAGCACAACACACACGACAACACGACACGTACACGAAAACGGGTATATTTTAGCCGACGAGATTCACTCAAATCGACTTGAAAACCAAGTTAATACGAATAAAGTTCAAGTAAAGGAGAGCGAGTGCGATAAAGTACACACTCGTCCCATCAAGCGATATTCACGTATATAAGCAGGTAAACCAAGTAAACACGACAAGTCATGCACTTGACACTCACCTATTCAAAAGTAATTGAACGAGAAAATCTTTAATTGTCCCCTCCGGGATTCTCTTCAAGACTAGCTTGAGCACCTGAAGCAATTGACAAGTATTTTTTTTTTTTTACACATAATCACGCATTAATCAAGAAAGGAGTTACACTCATCTAGACTTGTCAATACCTCAAATCAAGAACCTTAGCCACTCCAAATAAAGGTTCAAAAGTGAGGTTTTATTAACACAAGGAAAAATAATTTCCTTCATGAAATCAAGTTTAAAGTGACCAATTATCATCAAGAAGGAATAACGGGTTTTTTCAAAATTTCATTTTCTAAGAAATCGGCAAATTTCAGCTGTGCACGTCAAACTTAGAAAAATCAGGTCTTGCACTCAGTAGGTCCAAAATTGAAAAACTTGGTACCATTGGAAACTACTTCCAAAGTATTAAAAGTTCCTCGAAGACACTTTTCCATGATTCCAAATGGAAAAATATTCAAAATGAGCTCAAGGACGCTGCTTTGGTTCATAAGACAGATTTAAGTTGATTTTTGGTCAACTTTGAAAATTCGAAAAATTCACTCGTTGGAACTAGCTTTTGAAATTTGGTACTCTTTTAGAGTCGTAATCCAAGTGTACATTAAAACAAACGGAATGAGAAACGGAGTTTTGAATATTAAGATATGGCAACTCAAAGTTACCAAAATTCCTTGTGAAACATGGATTTTTCAAGCTCGAGTCATGAACTTTGGTAATTTATTTACCCATGAAACGGTCTCGAATAACACCAAAATTAGCAGTATAATACTACCATATAAGGGTTGTCCCTCTACCAAATTTCATAGGAAAATATGCACGGAAAGTCACTTAACAAAATCACTCAAGTTTCCAAAATTTTTAAGGCAAAGTTGCCTTGTATATGAACATTTCCTTTTCTAAACTTTTGACCAAGGAAAATCCTCTAAACATGGTTCATTTGCATAGAAAAGGTTTAAGGGTCATCCCAGAACAACATTTGTGGTGATTAACACCAAGAGTTTTAATTTGCAAGTCTATACCGAGCCTTGCATCAAATCTGTCTAAAAATCAGGGTTTTCAAGGACAGAGCAGGTTTCCTATTTTGATCATAGATCACTCAAATTAACTAGGAATTTGGCATGGTTTATGGCATTGGAAAACACATTCATAGAAGCTATAATTTCACAGAAGAAATCACTTGAAATTCGGCACACAACTAGCTCGAATTCGAGCCACAAGTTGCAGCCTCATCATTTTGTTCTTGTAAACAGAGAAACAGGACAGCCGACTTAAAATGGCTGGTTCGGCTCACACACATGGAACCAAATGTGCATTTTATACCGTCGGAAATGCTGGGATGTCTAGTTTTAAATGCACTGACGGCACTTAATTTCGACATCGAGCACAGATTTATAGCCGAAATACGAAAGCTGGTCAGAGTATTACGGAAACAGTTCCAGATTTACTAGCTTTGTGAAATCATTTTATTTGACCAACCAAATCTCAATATTTTCAATGAAACTTTGTACACCACATATTCAACATATAAACATAATATACGAGTCATGAAACCCTCAAAATTCTACAAAAAGGGGTGTGATTAAAACAGGGCAAAACTGAATATTTTTGAACTATGCATCCCTTGAAGTCTAGACTAGCTAGATATCATTAATCTATATTTAAATACTAAACTAGCATTATATCCATCATCAATCATTTCATCAGCCATCAATTCAAGGGTGGGAGTTCATAGAGCCCACCATCAAAATTTTCCCAACGTGAAATAAAACGAATAACATGTAATTTTAGCAAATAGATCCACCACAGTAAATCTGTCATCGGCTAAAACATGATATTAAGTACTCAGTTTCGGCATGCAATTACTTAGCTAGTCGATTAATATTTCCAGTTCAAAATTAGATTCAAGCAATAACTAAAATCATCCAAAATTCCAGAAATTGGTTTAGCTATCTCGGATGAGGTTGCATACGACAGATTGTAGCTTATTCTTATTATAATTTTTTTTCCTTGTTTAGCCGAGCTGCTCAGCCTCATGTAAGACTTAATTATCTTGTTCTTAGTTTGATCCTTACATTTATCAGCTCAGGTTACCACAAATAAGCAAATTAAGGTCTGCATTTCTAAATCCATCTCGCGGCAGTTTTCATTTCTTCCAAACCAGAATTTCCGATGCTCTTAGTTCATCATCCGAATGCATACTCTCAACATGCAAGGCTTAATCCTCTAGTTCTTAATTAGTTAATTGTAGTTACAAGCTCAGCTTCCTTCAAATAAATAAGATTAAGGCTGCATTATCAATTCAGCTTTCCAGCAAAACCCATTCCTTCGCACATCAGTTTTTCTTTTCCTAAAATCATCATCCAATCGCCTAAGCTTCACATGCACAGCCATAGATAGCTCAATCTACCTCTGGTCAATGTAGTTTAGCTTAAGAATTACCTCAGATCGAAGCTTATACTCACGACAGAAAGCTAATGTTTCTTCCCTCTCGGCTCGCACGCGACTGGATGGTTGGCTGCTGTCTTGGTTGCCGGTGGTTGCAGATGTGGTGTTTGTAGTTGGAGATGGTTGCAACTGGTTGAAGTTGCAGCAAGGATTGAAACTCACGCAGTGCTGCTCTCCTTTCTTCCCTCTTAGCCACGGTCAGAACAGAAGAAAGAAAAGAAAAAAAAATATTGCAGCTTGCGGTTTCTCTCTTTTCTTTTCTCTCGGTTGCAGCAGGAGATGGAAATGAGGAAGTTGTGTTGTGGAGGATTGGAATTGATATGGTGAAGTGAATTGATTATAGTTGAGGTGAGATGGTGGAGTGATTGTGGTGCTAGGTAGCAGAGGTGATTTACGGTAGTTGAGGGATTGAGTGTTGGTGAGGTTTGAGTGTTGGATTGGAGAAAGTTTCATTGGCCGGATGGGGTGGTGAGTGATGATGTTGTCAGAGGGTGTTGGATTGCATGGTGATTTGTGAGGTTGTGAGGGTAGTTTAGTCTTTTCACTTTTCCTTCTAATGACCACTTAAGTCCTTAATTCTAACTTAACTCCAAAAATCTATTCTGAATATAAATTAAGCTCCTAATAATGCACTAATCTTGCAAGGTTTCAATTATCGAAATTTTTACGTCCTACACGTATTTAGTATACTTGTATTGTTTTTATCTAAAATTTATCGGCCTCGTCTTAACGTGAAATTTCTATTAACATTTAACGTTATTATCTATTTGGAGTTAATTATTGGAATCCAAGTAATTTATTTTAAAGTAGTAAAATTAATCTGCTCAGGTAGTATTAATTTAACATAATGGGGACTAAGTATTTAATATTTTATGTTGGGGTGCTAAAATTATTCTAACTCTAAAGGTGTTAATTTAGTTTAGCAAAACAAAAGAAATTTCGTAACTTAGAAAAATTATATTATTTTTCACATGAAAATTGTTTTATGCACTTATTTACAAACAAGTGAAAGTAATGCTAAAATTTATTAGAGAGTTAGAAATGCAAATGAAATATGCAATGTTATTTGTATATATATTTTCAGGGTTCTCACACATATGCTACTTTGTTTGATGAAGAGGATGATGTTAATTATGTTATAGAATAAGTTTAAAAATTTGACAATGTTGCTCTACTTCACATGTTGATGACGATATTTGTGATTATTAACTTTGTTTTCTTATTTGTCACTTTTAATAGGGTGTATTGTTTGTTGATATTTCAAATTATTTACTTGTAGATTTACTAGGGAAACATTAAACATACATGACATGTGAAGAAGAAAATTGAAGACTTGATAGTTGATGGCATGTTCCGGCAAAAATGAGAAACTAGCACATTTGACAATCTTGGGATTGAAAAGTGAAAACTTGATTGTCTCATGGTGTTGAATTGTATTCAAATAGTATCTGTTTGTTTGTTTTTATGAGTTAAGTTTGTGAAATTATAGTGAATTATGTATCGATAATACCTTGGTGATATATTGGTATATAAAATACTTGATTGTTGGCTGAAATTTAGCTAAAATTTTGTTATAGGACAATTTTCTATTAGCCATCAAGGACACCTGCGAGGGAAGTAGAACGGGATGCGGGAAAGGACAACGAGAGTGCTTGGGCATCAAGGCAAAGGACAAGGAAAGGGTCCCACGCCTCACTCCCACCCCATTTTTATTGCTACCAAAAATAAATAGTAAGTATTTTCCCCTTGTTTCTCGAGAATGGCCCGAATTGCAAAAATACATCAGGAGATAGTGAGGTTGGATTCGGCTAAAGTATAAAGGCCTGACCTCAAGTTCATCAAAATGGTGGAGGCGATTATAGACAAACTGGATTTCAGCTTTCTGATTTCAATGATTATAAAGTTCCCCTTCATGATTCTGATTTCAGCTTTCTAGCTAGTTTGTATTTTCTAGACTTTTGTCAGCTCGGGTAGAAAGCTAAGCCTTTCTCTTGCTTGGCAGTCTGATCCTCTAGCATCTTTGTAGATCTTTTCAGTTTCCACTGGTGGTAGCTTGGTTTCTTTCTTTTTAGAGTGAGTTTTTACCTCTTAGTACCTCAGTTTGTATCAATGGAGACAGATCTGAATGAGATGATGCAAAAGTTCTCTTTAGCTGGAAATGAACTTTTAGGAGCTACTCTGGACTTAGGGGACTTGGAGAGTGGAGTTAGAGTATGTAAGGACAGTATAATAAGGAAAGTCATAGGAGAAAAGATTGCTAGTTTCACAGGAGTGAAAAACTTTGCCACCATGGCCTGGGGTTATCCTAAACACTTGTCTGTGTTAGAACTGGGACCGAATCTTTTCCAGTTCAACATCCCTAACTCAGATGATAAGGATAGGATAGTAGAAGGAGGCCCGTGGGTTATAGATAACCAAATTTTGGTACTGAACAGATGGGAGGAAGGTATAGAAGGAAATCTGGAAGCCTTCATACTGGCCTCTTTGTGGGTACAGGTTTGGAATTTACCTGTACATTGGGTTACTAGAGAAGTAGGCCGTAAGATTGGGGTAGTTTTCAAACAGGTCAAGGATGTGATAATACCACAGATGGGAGGAAAGAAGGCTAGGCATTTGAAAATGCTGGCCTTAGTAGATTTGTCAAAACCCCTGCTAAGAGGCACCATTGTGAAGACTGAAGGTACTATGAAATGGGTTGCCTTCAAGTATGAAAGATGCCTAGATTTCTATTATAATTTTGGAATTGTTGGTTATGGGGAGAAGACATGTAGCAAACAGCAAGAAATAGCAGGGGTATATGCAGACAATCAGTATGGGCCTTGGATGAGAGCAGGGAACTTTAAAGGATCCCCACAGAAAAAGTAAAAAAGAAATGATACGTATAAAGATAAAAGGTTTTGGAAGTTTGTAAATGGGGAGTTGATTGAAAAAACACAATCGACGAATCTGTTTGAAAAGAATCAGTAGGAGTTAAATAGACCTTTGGAGAGGGATAACTCTAATCACCAAGAACTAGCAAGAGACCTGAATGTGATGAGAATTGAAGCTGATCAAGGTCCCCCCCCCAGAGTTTAGCTCATATAGATAGCCCCAAAAACAACAAGAGCCTCTGATTCAAAGTGAAGGAGCACAGGTTGAACAGGTTGAATCAAAAGGTATAGAAGCTGAGAAGACTCTTTTGGTTGAGAAAACTGCTGTGATGGAAGAGGATAGCACTGTAGAAGCTACTATTGCTGTTAAGCCTGGATCAGTAGAAGGAGAACATGAGAGAGGGGTACTGATTCAGGAGACTAGTAATAACAATGAAAGAGTACAGGAGGCAATCAGGAAACAAACAACAAGATTAAACAGGAAGGTGAATTCTCCCATCAAAAATAGAAGACCCCTAAGAGAGTTGAATAGACAAGTGAGCAATCAGACAAGGATGGGAAAGCGGAAAACACCTCTGAGGGATGAGAAAATGGAGTGTGAAGAAGGTGAAAATCAGAACTGGAAAAAAGATAAATCTTTTGAGATGATGGTAATCTTAGAACCTGATCAGGTGGAGGTGGGGTCCTTTCCTAATGGGACCCCCAAGGACATATGAGGCTTGTGGTATGGAATTGTCAAGGTGTGGGGAGGCCCTTGACAATTCCCCACTTGAGGGAAGTGAATAACCTCCTCTCTCCAGATATGATTTTCCTTAGTGAAACCAAAAATAGGGAGAAATATATGGATAGAGTAAAAAACTGATTAAGGTTTGAGAATAGTGTGGTAACTGAGGCCATGAATAGATCAGGTGGTATGTGTCTTTTATGGAAAGACGATGTCAGAGTCTTAACCACTCTCCAAACAGCTTTCACCATTGAAGCTAAGATAGGGGGAGGGAACCTCAGGATGAGTGGTGGTTTATAGGAGTATATGCAAGCTGTGATGCTCAAATCAGAAAATAGCAGTGAAAGTGTTGACTGACAGGAGGAAACTGTGGGGGGAGAAGTTTGTTATAGCAAGAGATTTCAATGATATAGTTTCTAATGAAGAGAAATGGGGGGCATTAAGAGAGAGAAAAGGAGTTTCAAGGCTTTTAAAGATTTCATCTCTAAGAATAGATTAGTAGGCATAGGTTTTGAGGGCCACCCCTAGACCTAGAGTAACCACTGGGACAGTGTAGGGGAAGTGAGACAAAGATTAGACAGATGCCTTAGTAGCTATGAATGGGTATAGAAGTTTGAAGGGGTAGTCTGTCAGCACATAGAGTCCTTTGCGTCTGACCACAGCTTGCTTTTGCTGGATACTGAACCAGGAAATAGGAAAAGAAAAAACGTTTATTTTGATAAGAGATGGATTCAGAAGGAAGGTATACAGCAAGTGATTGAAAAAGCTTGGAACAAGGAGGAACAAGGAACTAGAATGTTCAGAGTGACCAAAAAAGTGAAGAATTGTAGGATTGAAATTCTGAAATGGAAAAACACTTTCCAGCCAAATTCCAAAGTGAAAATCAATGACATTAAGGATAGACTAGAGAGGTTGGACAAGTCTAATTTGGACAACAAAAAAGTGAGAAAGACTGAGCTTAAGGAACAACTCAAAGAGGCTTATAAAGAGGAGGAATCTTTTTGGAGTCAAAAAGCTAGAGTGAACTGGCTAACAGGGGGAGATAAGAACACTAGGTTTTTTCATGCTTATGTGAGAGATAGGAGAAACAGGAATAAGATCTATGATGATGAAAGAGAGGGTGGTTCTTGGACAAAAAATGATGAGGAACTTGTTTCTGAGATTTCCATGTTATATAGGAGCCTGTTTACTAGTGTAGGGGAAAATGATAACTCTGAGGTATTGAGGGGTATTTCACTGTCTATTACTGAGGAAATGAATGCCAAACTGACTAAACCAGTTCATGAGGAGGAAATCAGGTCTGCTGTTTTCTCCATGAATCCTGATAAAGCCCCTGGGGTGGATGGTATGACTCTATTGTTCTTCCAAAAATTCTGGAACTTGCTTAAAAATGATGTTGTTCAAGCTATACAAGATTTCTTTTTGACAAGCTGCATGCTTAAGTCTATCAATCATACAATAATCTCACTCATTCCCAAAACTTTGAACCCAATAGACTTGAAAAACTATAGACCAATCAGTCTGTGTAGTGTTTTGTACAAAATCATCTCAAAAGTTTTGGCTAACAGACTGAAACCTGTCCTTGAAAAGTGCATCAGTAAGAATCAATCAGCCTTCATCCCTGATAGACAAATCTTAGATAACGTAATCATTGCTCAGGAATATATGCAATATTTGAAAAACAAAAAGCAAGGGAAGGAAAGGTATATGGCTATCAAGTTAGACATGGCTAAAGCTTACGATTGAGTGGAATAGCACTTTCTTAGAGCCATGATGCAAAAGATGGGATTTTGTGATAAATAGGTGAAATGGATATCAAGATACCTGGAGACTGTCTCTTATTCTTTCAACTGCAATGGAGAAGTTAAAGGATTTTTGTAAAACCAGGAAGAGGGATAAGGTAGGGAGACCCTCTCTCATCTTACCTATTTTTTATTTGCTCAGAAGGCTTCTCAAATCTGCTCCAAAGATCAACAGAAAACAAGAGATTGAAAGGCTTGAAGAACAGTAGGCAGGATCCAAACATTACCCACCTATTTTTTGTGAATGATTCGCTTATATTCTGTGGAGCTGATGTGCAGCAAGCTAAAGAGCTAATGAAGATTCTTCAAGTTTATGAACATGCATCAGGTCAGCTGATCAACTTAGAGAAGTCATCAGTGATCTTTAGCAAAAATTTGACAGGTAGGCAGAAACAACATATCTGTAGTGCTCTAGGAGGCATGGCAGAAGTGAAGCAAGGGAAATATCTTGGTCTCCCTATGGTTATCTCAAGAACAAAGGACCAAATCTTTGGCTACATAAGAGATAATATCAATAGGAGACTGGAAAGTTGAAAGAACAAGTTGCTAAGTCCTGCTGTAAAGGAAGTCATGCTCAAAGCAGTCACAATGGCCATGCCAACCTATGTTATGTCATGTTTCAAACTGCCTAGAAAACTCCTCAAGGATCTCAACTCAACCATGGCAAACTACTGGTGGGGTGAAACTAATGGCAAGGACAAAATGCACTGGATATCTTGGAGAAGAATGGCTCAAGAGAGACTGGAAGGAGGTTTGGGGTTTAAGGATCTCGAAGCCTTCAACAAAGCTCTGCTAAGGAAACAGGTTTGGAGATTAATCACCAAACCAAATCTCCTAGTCAGCAGAGTATTGAAAGCCAAGTATTTTCCAAAGGAGTCAATTTTCACATGCAAAGTTCTGGGTAATGCTTCTTGGTTCTGGAAAGGCTTGATGGAAGTCAGAGGGCTTATGGAAGAAGGAGTAACAAGAAGGATTGGAATGGGAGAAGCACAAACATATGGGATCATAATTGAATACCAACTTCACCATCTGGTAAGCCTAGGACCCCAAGACCCCAAACTGTGAATTTGTATTAGTAGAGCAGTTAATCAACTAAAGTAGGTGGAACACAAATATCATCTTCAAACTGTTCAACAAGACTAATGCAGAAAGGATTCTCAGTATTCCAATTAGTCTAGCAGGCAGAGAAGATTTTAATTACTGGAAATACAGTGAAGGAGGAGAATACACAGTGAGAGTTGGCTACAAGAGACTAATAGAAGAGAGCTCAAGCAGCAACAAAGCACAGGCATCTACTGGAACAAGTTTTGATGAAGGCAGCCAACAAAGCAGGCATATATGGAACACACTGTGGAAGCTCAACATCAAACACAAAATTAAGGTGTTCATCTGGAAGTGTGTGAATGGAGCTCTACCAGCTAGAGAGGCAATCCACAGGAAAGCTACAATTGGTGATCCAATGTGTAAGGAATGTGGAGAGGAGCCAGAAACAATAGAATACACACTATTGCAATGCCCGCTAGCAAAAGTAATCTGGAAAGTAGCCCGAATAACATGGGATGGAGCAAAAAATCAGATAGGTAACTTCAAAAGATGGTGGAGCTGAATCACAGAAGCTAAATCAAGACAAGAGGGGAGAAGCCATATTGGTCTCACTGCTAATATCTTATGGCAGATTTGGAAAGAAAGGAATCAAAGGGAATTTGAAGACCAAGCCAGCATTCAACCTTGCAGTGTAATTCAAAAAGCACATAAGGAGTGGCTGGAACTGGAGGAAGTAGTTACTAAGAAAATTGGCCAGAGCACGGTAGAAACAAAGCCAGAACTGGAGGGGGAACATCAAGTGCAAGTGGACCAAGATTTGATAAGTCTGAGAGTGGCAACAACAAGCTTATTGAGGCCTGCATTGCTGGGAATTGGAGTTACTATCAAACGCATGACTAACGGTGCAGCAGGTTTTTGGGCATTAAAAGACAGAAGCTATGGGAATAAGAATGTTGATACAGCTTCAGCAATCAGACTGGTCTTATGCAAAGCATTGGAAAGAGGATGGTACAACATCAGCATCCAAATCCAAAAAAAGAACTTGTTAAGGCAGATTATAAATGATAAATCCTCTGATTGTAGACTGACAACAATCCTTGAGGATATTCTAAACTTAAAGTCGTTGTTTCGAATGTGCTCCTTTTGCTTAGATAGTAAGGATGATAGTAATACTAGTGCTAATGTTAGCTAATATGCCTTAGGCATTTTGTTGGATGAGGAAAGCCTTTTTCCTCCGTGTCTTTGAACACGAGTTGTACAGTTCACCGAGCCGTTGCTCGAAATGTAAAGCTTTCTATAGATCAATACAAGTACTCTATCGTTTCGAAAAAAAATTATAGACAAACTAGAGATATGGAAAGATGTAGTAGAGGCCGAAGAGACTTCCGAAAAAGTATCTAAAGAGGAAGGAGACAGTGACTTGGA